CTCCTCGCCACACGATCTCCCCCATGTCATCCTCTCATTGACGACCTACTCATCGCTTCCCGTTGGGATTCCTACTCGAGCGGTGGCCTGCATTGCTCACAATGTCATTATTCGACGGCCTCCTTAAAATATACCCGATTCGTCTTCATTTTCGCCTATATATTTGTTTAGCGATCGGCTCTTGGTTGGTGTGTTCCTACCCAGAGTTTTTTTTATTACTAATTCTTTCTGGCTGGCCTGCCGGCTATTTGATCTTCAGCGAAGTGGGCATTTGTTGATAAAAGGCTTTTAACCTGTTGGAAATGCTTTTCGTCACACAAGCAGTGCAAATGTATGACCCCTATAGAAACAAGCACTATCTGTCTTCCTGTTTTCGACATAAAACTTTGCACCGATGTGTGGCAGTTCAAGTCGCCACACTCCCTCCTTGTAGCACACAAACCAAGAGAAGGAAGTAGAAGAAATGCATGATAGAGACAGTAAACAGAGGTGTGAGACAATCGAATAGTAATAGCGAAGAACAAAACAGTTTCATTGGAAACCATAGGTCACAAGGAGTAGATGCATCTGTTCCGGCTATTGAGAACAATTTTGAGCCATTTCACTAATTGTTTCGAGCCATTGGGTTTTTGCCGTCCCGAGGACCCCAACCAGGAAGTCTACAGCTGACTGACTGACTACACATTTGTGTTGAATAGGATTCGAATCTTGTTCTTTATGCTGGCTGAGTGAGTGTAGGATATCTCCAAACGGATTTCAAGTTGATGAAGGTGTGTCTTGTTTTCACTATTCTGACTAGCTTTCATATTTTTATCCGTTCCGAGGCCTATGGTTGAAGGCGTGCATCCTATCCAGATAAGGAAAGGAAGTATCCTCGGTGAAGTCTCACCAGGTGATGGTAATTGGTGCTGATTGTTGTAGCTGTTGTTGGTGGTTGGTTGGTTATCTTCATCACCGTGTCCACTTTGTGTTTGTTCACCTGGAGTCCTGTCTTTGCCGCCAGCCTTTTTCGCCAGTTTGTTGGTTTTCGCTCGGAAGTCTTCGAATTTGTGGGACATTAAACATATATCATCTTCGAGATCCAGATCTTCTACAGTCTTCCTATCGGTCAGTTAAGCGTATTCCTGTCTCTTCACTCTCACACCCATTCCGACGCTTCATCGAGTCCACCACGATTATTAATATCATCAGTGATAATAAGCAGGCAGCCTTGTCTTACTCCTTTATTTATTATCAAGTCTGTAACTTGTTGGAATACGGCTTATCTCCATCTCATCTATTTCTTTATATAATTTCAGTTTTTTAAAAGTAGTCTGTGTGTGTGATTAGATTGTAACTTCTGGTATCGATTAAATACTTATTAGGACATACTTTTCCAACGCCACACTTGACATTTCCCGTTCGACTCATTGCTGATATATATGTAACTTTCTATAGTTTCGTTTGTAATAGTTATGTTTTTACGAATTGATCACGGTCTGTTATCGGTTAGAGGACCATTGGAAACCAGGGAGTACTGGACAGCTGTTTTATCCTAGTACGCACCCACTGGGATTCGAACCCAGGACTTTCCGGTTACAAGGCAGGCTAGCTCATATACCATTCAGCCACTGTGACCCGATTCAATGTCTCATGAATTCTAAGTTTTACCAGTTCGTGATTTAGCCGATGATTCCCAAACTAGGATGAAGCAGCTGTCCAGTACTCCTAGCTGGTTTTCAATGGTTCTCTAACTGATATCAATCCGTGATGAAATCGTAAAAATATGTGTAAGTACTTTATTTTTATATTTTATAGCCTAAGTGTTTGGTGATTTTAACAGAATAAATAACCTTAAAAACAGTGTTGTTGCAAACGCAAGATTTCGATGTAGATTTGATCTCAAATCAACACGAATTAGAGAATCATTGAAAACCAGGGAATACTGGACAACTGTCTTGTCTTAGTTTGGGATTCCCCAGTTGTACGCACTCATGACACCACCATGGATAGAATCTATGACCAGCTTTTTGACCTTTCAGCTAACTGTGTCGCAATTCAATTCTCTGTGAATTCTAACTTCCTTTTAATTCGTGATATGGTGCTACTTGCAACTAATGATATCGATGGGTATCCACTTCTTGGCATGGTGGACACCACTGTCCGATGACTTCTCATTTGAACTTCAGGACATACATTCAGCAGCCAGCATTAAGCTGAAGATTCATATTCAGACTATAGGTTTTGTAGGGATATTTACTAGAATAGGGGGAAATCATTTATAATACTTTATACATGTTATGTTGTTGGTTGTCCATGGCGAAGAAAGGGGGTGCACAATTTCTTTTGGTGCATGCAAAAGTCCTACCCTTAGAGCATTCAAAACGTTCGGTGAAATACGATAGATAACTTTAAAAAAACTTGTTAGATTCAACTTGATGTCAAGCATTGACGAGATGTGTTAGTACTGAATCGCATATTGCTATATTCAGACCTTTACCAAACCAAGGTTCAAGGTGTTCAGAAATTCGGGAATGAACTTCCTTGATCGTACACCTAATGTAACTAGATCCACAGGAACACTTGAGCTAGTAAATACACATGGAAGAGGTGAAACAAGGCAATTGGTATTTATTTCTTGAACTAAGTATATTGCTCTGCTAGTGAATAAAGAGCATAACTCAGCTGCGTTGAAAGTCCATAGCAGTTTAAGCCACATCAAGAGGTGATTGGGGTCTTTGGATGCTAAGAACCAATGGTTGGAGAAAATCACTGATTTGGCTCAGTGACGCGCAGATGCATTCACTCTTTGTGGTTTCTAATCCCCAATATAACTCTATTGTTCTTTCATATTAACATTTTTTTTACTTCACACTTTTGTTTATTATCCCTCTCTTTTGAATCTCTCTTCTCTTACTTTCTGTACTGTAATGAGGGAGTGTGACAAATGCAACTGTTGCACATTTGTGCAAAGTCAGCATTGAAAGTCCTTTTGTTGAAGGCCCTTCTCAGACTTTATGATAAAATCTCAGCATTATTATTATTATCTCGCCTCATTTAATCATGATTTGACATTGGCTTAGTGTATCCTGTTATCACTTTCTCTCTCTCTCTCTCTGTACTGTTTGCATAATTCTTTGTTCTAATGTTTTTCGGTCTCTTTTTAAGTGAATGCTGTCTTACATTTTGATGGCGTATATGTGCGATACCGTTGTCTTTATTGTCTTTGTGTGTGTGCGCTAACCAATAGTTATATGCGATTAATTTTCAAGTCGAAGTTTGTATTCGAGTATTCCATTTTCTGCTTTGCGGAATAATTACCATAGCATTCAAAAGTATATATATATATATATATATATATATATATATATACATAGCGCCATATATAAACATGCGTGCACCACAATTGTAGGTCACTGATACAACTTTTATCAATAATCATACGATGTTGGTTACATAAAATAAAAGTGCTTAATGATTTAGTGCAATACGATTGTCAGCCAAATGGGATAATAATTTTCAGTCTATATATGGATCGATTATGAAAACTAAAGGATTAACGACTTCTTATCGCTTTGTCTAAATTCATAAAGCGAACTAATTGTTTTAAAGGACTACTATTTTTAGATGTGGTTAGTTTGGAGTTTTCGATTGGTTTGAAGTTGGATAGTGGATTGATTTCAACCGAGAGAACTATTGAAAACTGGGGTGTATTAGATAGCTGTTTCGTCCTAGTTTGGGACTGTTTATTCGTAGGCGCACATTACCACACTGGGGGCCGAACTCAATAGATCACCACTCGGATCGGACACATCTGTAGTCAAGACATCTTGAAAGCAGAACTAGATCTTATGGATGAAATAGATATCCATCAAGATGCACTGACAAGAGTATCAAACCACAAGTTCTGAAAAACAAAACATTACTTGTTCCAATAACGAAGCTTTACATGAACCTGGATTTCAAATGAGACTTAACCCTCGATCTCCTTAAGATAAAAATTTCATCTTCTTTGAGATCATTCTTCTCAGGAATGCTAAGAGTGGTGTTCTCCAGTTCTTCATTAGTCCGCAGAAGTTTGAAGAACACAATATCATCTGATGCCAGTTCAAGTGTTTTCATAGAGTCGGTTATATTGATCGTTTGACATTTATTCTGTTTAAAAGAGTTCAGCAATACTATCCCATATGGCTACAGAAAGGCAGTCGTGGGTTTCGTCTCCTCTAAATTTCTGAAGCTCTAGCCATTCAGATAGGGGGACTGGAGGTATACACACAAAAGAGAATTATTCAACTACCTCGACTATCATGCTAACAGCTTTGTTGTTTTCTACTAATTTAATTTTGTCGGTTTTTTCACCCTTTTTTCATCCTTGTATTTCCTCCGACGTCTTACGTAATTTCGCATTTCCCAACATATCTATGTGCACCTTGACTGCAACTGATTCATTTAAATTACTCCGCTTTCTATGTAATTCTGATACAGTCGTTCAGTTCTCCCAGTGGCTTGACTAATATTAACATATGTGGTTATGACAACTCATTACTTTAGTTACTACCTTCTTGAATATATATATATATATATATATAAGTTTTAGGTTCGAACGTCTCCTCATCGACTTCAGCTTAGGCAGCTGGGTGATATCGTCAGCTGTCGCACCGTAAGTATGTTTCATAGGCCTGCACTAAATAGGTGAATTGTAGCTAATGAACTGACTTACCTGTACAAAAGGTCTTTTTTGATTATGCAAATGCCGAAATGAATGCCAAATTCAAAGTAAACAAAGCTTCCTGTGAATATGTGTTAGGGTGGTATTCAGTTCAATAAGGTTAATTACTTAAACAGCAATAGTATTAAGTTTTCTATTATGTGAATGAAAGCAGCAGTCAAATACTAATTGTTTTCATGAACTTTGTTATAGTTTTTGAAAACTTTTGCCGTATGCTGTATCACGTATGTATTACGTAATACATGTGTTACTTCTTTATATTTCTTTTCCTTCTTGTATATGTTGAATTTAGGCATATTTGCTCTGTCCAGTTTCCTTACTGAATCTAAATGTTTAAAACACTTGGATATACGTAATAATGACTTAGATTTAGCCTCTTTAATGGCCTTATCAAAAACGCTGTACATTAATAGAACATTGACAAGTCTATTTACAGATGCACGTCGTCCGCTGACCAGAGAACTGTATATAGCCGATGTAAGTTTACACTTTTGTTTCATTCTAATTTTTTCTTTAAATTAGACTTTTTATACCCATATGATGTTCTTATGATGTTGCCTACTTTTAAGGAGATTAAACTTTATTGATTGTTTCTTTTCTCTACTTCTGCAAAAATCACAGACTGAATTAAACTCAGGGCTAGCTATTAACGCTCCGAATAGTATAAATGATCATTGGCTAGAGGCGTAAGACGTTATGAAAGTGGCGAGCGAAGCCGCTTGAAGTCTTATGGTAGAATGCTCCACTAAATTCCATTGGGCTTCTGCGAGTTTCTTGCAACTTCTAGATGTGTGATGGTCCATTCTAGTAAACGACGAGTATTATAACATGTACAGCATCAATACACTTCCACCAAGCGAAGCGAATGTCTGAAAGGAACTTCAAGTTTTGGAACTCTTTAAGGTATCCGTTCCAGACACTCTACCCACGGCTTTTTTAAGATGGTAGCAACATTCTCGTCAGTGCGTTAACTGGGTTGTTCAGGAAAGCAGAAGAATTTGAGCGTGTTCTATAAATGTGACATGAAGTTATCATTGTGCATGTCTTTAAAAAGGGTCGACATCTAAAATATTGGCTGCCTTCTTGCTTCGTAGGCTGTGCAAAACATGTGAAGAACTGGTTCTCAAGGAGCAGGTTGGGTTTCGTTGAGGCCATGGATGCATTGATTATATGTTCACTCTTAGTTAGTTGTTGGAACATTGCCACACGTACTGAAGGTCAACAGTCGGGGTTTTTTGATATTTGGAAGTGCCTTCGATTCGTTGGGTAGAACTGCTGCCTGAAACTATTTTTAGGGAGAAATGTACCTGAGAAGTTTGTTAACATCCTGAAAACCCTATACAGAAACATTTCAGGTAGATTGAGGACGTACAACCAGCTGTCATTATTGTTCCCAACCAATCGTGAGGTTAGACAGGATTGCCCGATCTCTCCGTTTCTCATTAACCTTTGCCATCGATGGCATTCTGGGGTGAGCTTTGGAAGATATGCATGGTGATATAGATCTGCTTCCTGGAGAAAGACTTTCCCATTTTGATCTTTGCAGACGATATGGTCTTCCCGTGCCATAGCATGCAGGCTGCTCAAATAGTACTTAATCAGTTGACTGACTATCAGTGTCTGTAAGTATGGTATGTTTTTTGCGCCTACACAGCGCAAATTATTGTTGCAAGATTAGCAGGATCGTGTACTTGCATTCTTGTGCTTTTGGAAGTGTGTGGGCAGCTGTTACTTCCTGGGTGCCCACACCGTGGAAGTTGATTGATTCTTCGTGTACCTGAAACAGAGAGAGGGTCAGTGTTGCGTGACCGCAGAGCCCAGGGGACAGCTGCTTGAGCCCGGTCGCACACCGCCTGTGTGAACGGGTTTCTGGGATTGGTTCCGTATTAGTTAACTTACTGCCGGTTACGGATCAGGGTAAGTCGGGATGTACAATTTTTGGGGTCGACCTTTTCTAACCTCCTCTCTCCAGAGTGGCGAGACAGCATAGCTGGTTGGCATGCTGTTCATTTGAAGGAACCGCCTTCCTGCTGTTACACCCCTGTTCCCCAGCAGTACGATTTCGCCTACAGACCCCCCCATCATAGTGTAAGAAAGATTTTTACACAAAGCCGGTAACTGCTTTTAGTCTAATTGCTATCCAAACAACCTTCCTGGCATGGTAGGACCTGCAGGAACATTGGTTTCAGCCAATGCAGCTTGTTAGGTTATCGCGATGTGTAAGCCCGACCACCACGTCAAGGTAGCAGCTGTCGGTTTTTCTACTTTCTTCTCTATCTTTGTGTGCTACATGGAGTGTGACGACTTGAACTGCCGCACATGAGTGCAAAGTTCTATGCTGAAAACAGACAGAGTACTTGTATTCACCTTTTCAGGTGATCCTCTTGAAGTTGTAGACCAGTTGGTGTATCGAAGTGGTTATGTGATTGCTGGCGGCTGTGTGACGGACGAGACCACTAACGGTGTCATGAAAGCTAAATTCGAGTACGCTAACTTGAACTTCATCTGGCGCTGTCACGAAGTCAGTTTGGCTGTGAAAGGTTGGATTTACAACGCTTCTCTGCTCTCAATCTTGCTCTACGTATATCCTAATTTGTAGTCAGTAAAAAGTTAAACAGTGTTTTTGAGAAAATTATCTGGTGCTAGTCCCTGAAGTCTGTCATTATAGACTTGAAGTATGTGTATGCAGTTGTCAATCGGTTCCCATAGATTTCAAAATTTTCTGATTCATTTTCTCCAGCTGTTTTCTTTTCTTATGCCTCACCATTCATATTCACTGTTTGATATGTCTCGCCTTTTATATTTTCTTTATGCTGCTTTGACTTGTTTATAGCGTTGTTTTCTCAACACACTGGGTAGTTGGTGTCTTTTTCGTTTTTCTGTATTTTTTATATAAATGGAGGTCAGTGTTTTACCACCAATTAACACTATTGAACAATACTCATACTAAACAATATGGCGAAAGTTTATAAAATATTTGGTCATTTATGTATGTATGTATATATATACATGTGCAGTAGGAAAATACAGCCGCAGGGTCATTTAAGGTTAAAGTGGCGTTTTCTGTTTCTTAAAGTAAAATGAATATATAAAAATTGAATACACTGATATTGAAGTGTAGAATATTCATATTTCATTTTATTGGAGTTTGCAAGAGACTACAACTTGACCACCAACCTGATATAGGTGTGTGTATATTGGGCTATATTATTATTATTGTTCCTTTGGGCTCCTAGTGGAACATAGGGCTTCAACTCCACGTCTCTACTTGCCACTTCTGTCTTCCTTCTGCTGTACTTTTCACCTGCATCCATGTTAGTCCATACTCTTTCAACTCCCCTTCACACGATCTCCTCCATGTTACCCTGACGCGCGCGCGATGTCACCCAACGGCCTCCTCAGCGGGTGTCCAATCCATCTCCAATTTCTCCTGCATATTTGTTGGGTGATTGGTTCTTGCTTTGTTTTGTTTGTTCCCATAGTTTCTTGTTGGTGATTCTTTCTGGCCCGGCCATCTGATCTTCAGTATAGATCCAGCGAAGACAGTTGTTGATAAAGGTGAGGTCTGCAACAGGCTGTTGGAAATATTCTCTGTGACCCGCCCGCCAAGTTTCTGATCCGTATAGAAGAGCTGACTGACTTGACGCTTGTATTGAAAATCCGACTGAATTTTGTTGTTGTTGCTGGCTGAGTGACGAAGATTTCCAGATTGGTTTCAGGTTGGTGAGGGAATGTGTTTCTCGCCTTCCCGATTCTCGCTCGATTTGACATCCTCAGTGGTAACGTCTATGACTGCAGTACTCACTGGGTGACGCGTGTTCGGATCTCAGAGGTGTGGGACATGAGTTCCTTCAGCGTGGCATATACGCCTTGCTAACCGGTGAGTGGTAACTAGCACGAAACCTAGTTCGAAGGCTTCCTGTGTCCGATTGCCTCCAACCATCTAATATCATCATGCTTCATATGTCTTATATTGTAACTAAATGAGCTTAACTCACAACGGTTCTCCATGTCTCTCATTTGTTTATTAACAATTTTCTACACTGACTTGCGTAATTTTGTTGCTATCCTCGCCCCTCACCCTTATGTTTTGTTTTCTACGAGAATCTGCTATCACTTTATTTGTATATATACAACACTATTTTATATATAATATACTAGTTAAAAATTCTGATTCATCTATGTCTGTTTTTATTTGTTCTGTTTATTATAGAAGGACAAAGAATTATTTGACTCTTTAGTTAAAAATATTGAAGCCAATCTGAGACGGAATCGTCTTGAACCAGAACCGCATAATAACGACAATAATAATAATAATAATAATAATAATAGTAATAATAATAATAGCAATAACAATGAGACCAGTAATGATCAGAATATTAACAGCAGTAATAACAGTAGTGGTAAAGATGTTGCATATACAAACACTGATACAACAACATCCATTAATAATAATAGTAATAATGATAATCCAACTGTAGATGTTGTCAATCAATCTGTCTCATCACAACAGTCTGATTCAGTCATTACGAATATCTCCAGTCCAGTCGATGACGATAGTAATAATAATGATCATCAATCCATAATGAATAATCATGATGTATTACCAGTGGAGAAGACAGAATATTCAGAAGAGATGTTAATAGCAACAGACGATATTACTCCAGTTCATGAGAGTGATAATAATAATAATAATAATAACAACAGCAACAATATCTCAGATGATGTATGTAAAGTGAATGATGAGAATGAAAGTGTTGAAGGAATGCTGAATGACCATCTGAAGTATCCAATGAATTCCATTGATGGCGATAATGATCCGTTATATGAATTAACTGATCATTTCATGAACTCTAAACCATCACCACCACCACCAACAACAACAACAGAATCAACAGCAGAGTATGCTGATATAACAAATGTCAATGATAGAATTTTAAAATTATCCGTTGATGAATTAACTGAAGACGGGGATGAAGAGGATAAATTAATAACCATTCCTTTATCTAATGATACTTCTAATAGTATTATACCAAATATACAAACTGATAATCAATATGAATTATCGAACAATTCAAATGATGCTGATTTGTTCAATTTAAAATCCGCGGGAAATTTATTTCCTGTTGATACAGTAAAACAAAATTATAACAATATAAATAATTCTATTGATCCTAGTGTTCATATAAATAATGATAACTCAAATGAAGGCATTTATCATAAAAATGTTAATAAACAAAAGTTAAAGAAAAATAAACGAGTGAATAATAATAATAAGCACCATTCGTCATCCTCCTCTTCTTCTTCTACTACTCTGAAGAATCATTCTAAAGTGAATTCAACAGAACACAGTTGAACTCTTGCTTCTTTTTTTTCTAAACCCTGTATACTGTCCTCCTATCGGCTGTGATTACCTTTGGTAAGTTAGTGTTTTTAAAATTGTTGTTTGAATGTGAAATAAAGATACCTGAGAGTTACGGTCACAGAATTGAAACCGATATCTGTATACTACTAATTAGTTGGGAAAAGTAGTTAGTCGTATACCAATCACATCAACCAGTAGTGTTTCTCTGCCAGATCAAATTGATGTGAACACGGTAGATGGCCGTTTCACTCTATATCATCAGTGGTGAACCCGGTTTGATTTGAGCTCGCATGGCTGAATCAAACCAACTGATCTTTGACTAGCCACTTTGGAGAAATGGTGACATCTTAGATCAAAGTGACAATTTGCAAATTGATTTGCGATTCGTACTTGACACATATTCTGGTCGAAATAATTTTGGTTTCTTAAGGAGAGTGTGATGAAATTTCATCTTCTCGAACTGTGTAAATTGCCAAATCGCGAATTTGTTTAAACCAATAGCCTATAGATTTGTAGTCCTGTGTTCTAATTTCTAAGGAATGAAATCCACTTATTATCACTGTTTCCTTGGGTTACGAGTTGAGCATAGGGCTTCAACAGCACATCTCAACTTTGTCCTATTTTCTGCGATTGTCTTAAGTTGATCCCAGGATTATCAACAGTCTCTCATCTCCTCCTCAAATTATCTCTTCCGTGTCACCTCCAGACCAAAGTCCGGGTCGTTGTTTCCCGTTTGGCTTCCACTCGAGGACCTGTCACATAACTTTGCCCAACTGTCTCCACTGTGTGTATCTGATCCATCTTCATTTGCTTCGGCATAGTTATTGGGCGATAGATTCTTGGTTGGTTTATTCCCATAATTTTCTTGTTGTCAATCCTTTCTGACCAGTCATTTGAAGACAGCTGTTAATGAAAATTTGCAGTAACCTGTTGGAAATGCTTTCTGTGATGCGGTAGCCAAGCCTCTAACTCATATAAAAGAACTGACTTATTATTGGTATTGATAACCCAAATTTTGTTCTTCATGCTGAGTTCAGAAGATTTCCAAACTGATTTCAGAGAAATGAAGGTGTACATTGCCTTTCCGATTCTGGTTTTGATATCCTCATCTGTTCCACTGTCTCTAGTTGAAACTATTCTTCCAAGGTAAGTGTAGGAAGTAACCTCTGCTAAATCTTTCCCTTTGATGGTGATTGGTGGTAGTTATTGTTGCTCTTGGTGGTGGTTGGTTATCTTCATCATTTCTGTCTTCTCTATGTTCACTTGCAGTCCTTTCTTCGCTGCTTGCCTATTATGACAACACCTGTTGGTCTTCCCCTGTAAGTCTTTGAGCTTGTGTGACATTAGAAGTAAATCATCCGCGAAGTGCAGATCTTCTAGAGTCTTCTTATCCGTCGTCCATCGTATTCCTGTATCCTCACTCCTTAGCAGTCTAATGCATAATCCAGTCCACTACAATTAGAAATCCAGTTATATTAATACGTATTTAAGATGGCATCAAATCTTACCATTGAGCTAAGAAAGAACGAAGCTACTATTGGAAGATACTCAACTTTTGAACTGCATGAATGCAGCAGCTAGTGATTACACTTACAATAAAAAAGTTTGATGGTTGATTAATTACTTGGTTGGTTAATTGCCTCAAACACACTTATCCGAAACAGATTTTTAATGTACGAAGCTGTTAACTATGGTTACTCTGTGAGGGTTGACGATCATATGCAGTTGTGTAGGTTGAAGTAGGGCGGTGGAGGAATTGAAACTTTGCACCTATTCTGTGATAGTCAAGCCGGCTGACGCGCACCGCTAAAACTCGCTCAACCGGTAGTAATCCCGGTAAGGCGAGAAAGTATGACATAGCATTAGCAACCTCACTTCATAAAAAACAAATGCTGCATCTAGTAGTATTTCAAGGCCTCAAACCTAAATCCCCGTGTCCCATTGGAAGCACAAAGCATTAAAATAAGTGTCCAGTAGACAGGTGGATTTCGATCGTGGAAATCTATGCTATCAGTCAGACTTTATTCATTATGTTTTTTTTTCTCTGCACGCAAATTCAGTATCTATTGCATTTGCTAATTGTTTCCTTTCTCCGCCTCCTACTCCTCCTACTTATTGGCTTTCCTTTTTAGCATTCAGTGTAAATGAAAGACAAAAAAAAGAAGAAATCTCAAACTGTTTCTTTATTCCTTTGGAATACTTTCTGCGTCTTCTATGCGCATTCTTCATATGTGCATACAATAAATTGTAATCAGACATGTAAACCCTTAGATACAGAAGAATGAAAAGAATAACAAGAAAAAAACAAACAACACTGTCTGTAATTTCCATCCTCTGTAAATCTCATTCTCAGTTATTGTTGGTGTTGTTGTTCTTTTTTTGTTGATGTTGCTCATATTGACTATTTTGTTTTGTTTTGGTCTTCAGAAACACAATAAAACACAACATTTGAGGGGCATTGTTTTTGTTGTTTGCTATTTCAGAAAACGAAATCTCATAAAATTGCCTTTTATATATTTCTTCATCTTTCTTGTTCTACCACTGGTTGATATAATGACTCTTTGTAGACTTTTCTTTCCTCACTCTGTGTATGTGTGTGTGTGTGTGCGTGTGTATATCGATTCACTTATACGTGCTGCGTCTCTCCTTCATTTTGTTTCCATAATGTACTTGTGTTTTTTTTTGGTATGTGAGCACATATATGCTCATATATCTATGCAATACTGACGTTGACTATTGTATCGTTTGTATCGTATCTCAGTTCCACTGACTTACGTGGTTTCTTTTGTTAGTTCTATTATTATTATTATCATTATTACTTACGGTGAATCTCATTATAATGCAATAAACTTGTCTAAACTATTGAATATTATACAGTATGCTTGTGACATTTTTGATTAACGGGTATGAATCTCTTCTAGCAATATATATATTCATACGCTATTGTCGATGCCTTCCTGCTCACGTCCTCTCTGTCTCTGTCTATCTATCTGTCGACTGGGAATAGTATTCATCTGTCATCTGGTAATCTGTGCATATATATGTATACACACATCACTACAACAATTCATCAAAAATTGACGCCAAATATTTTCATCATTTAATTCTTCTTTATTCTCTTTTCATTTTCGTGTATACATGTGTGCGCCTATTCGTATATACATTTAATTTTGCCCTTCTATCTTCTATTCTATTCAATGTGATATTATTATTACTATTATTTGGTATTCTTCCACTCTTCGTCTGTCTCTCTCTGTCCACCGCTCACATACTCTTCGGAGGAATTCATTGAAACACTTATTTGTTAAGGGATTCTCATCTTTAAACAAATAAATATTTCCCGCCCCTTTTTATTTCGAATACTCTGACTATTGTTTAACGTTTCACTTGTCTGTCTGTCTCTTTTTTCCTCTTCTCCCTGCTTGTCGTAAAAAGTAAACGTAAAAGAAAAGTGAGGAGGAAGCGGAGGACGACGACGAGAGGCAGAAGAACTGACCAACACACAAACCATTTTGTTTTTTCTCGATTTCTGAAATCTTTTTCGTTCTGTTCGTTTATTATTATTATTATTATTATCATTTTTAAAAATAACAATTCTATATTTATCTTCATCCATTATTGTGTTCGTTGCATCATTTTGTTTTCGTTTCTTTGTATATTATTATTAGTATTATTATTATTATTATAATTTTTTGTTGATTTGTTTAAATAATTTTGTTATTGAAAAGTAAATGAAGTTCAGTTTATTAACGAAATAGTTCATCCTGTTATCATTGATTATTATCCGTGTAAGTTTGTTAATTTGCAAATTGTGCGTGCGTGCGTGCGTGCATGTGTGTGACTGTGAGCACCTCATTTCTTGTGTTGATGAGTTGCTGGATAGATTGTCTAATTGTATGCGACATTATGTCTTATTTACCTTGAAAAGTAGTTTAACTATTATTATTTTTACTATTACTTGATGATTTTACTCCTTCGTGTTCTGAGTGGAACATTGAACTTTCAGTAGCAGTGGGTTTTTTTATGTATTTTTGCCCAATGGGGTTGGGGTTGCAAACGTCACACACACAACTTTCCCTCTGCTTACTGGTCTTACTTTACTTTACTGGCTAAGTTGAATCTTAGGAGTGCATCAGCTGAGAACCGAACTCCGTATCAGATGGCAAGGGTGATTGGCAAGCGTTCTACCACTAAACCTGTGATATGCAAGATGGTTTAAATGTATAAAATGAAATTCCTTTCACATTATTTCTATAGTTTGGTTTGTAAGGATTAGTTATGTTTTACGGGTTGATCACGGATTGATATCAGTTAGAGAACCATTGAAAACCAGGGAGTACTGGACAGCTGCTGTTTCATCCTAGTTTTGGGAATCATCGGCAGTACGCACCCACTGGGTTTCGAACCCAGGACCTTCCGGTTACAAGGCTAGCTCATTTACCATTCGGAAACTGGGACCCGATTCAATGGCTCGTGAATTCTAACTTCTACTAATTCGTGATTTAGCGCGACCCCAACCGGAAGGTCTCGGGTTCGAATCCCAGTGGGTGCGTACTGCCGATGATTCCCAAACTAGGATGAAACAGCAGCTGTCCAGTACTCCCTGGTTTTCAATGGTTCTCTAACTGATATCAATCCGTGATCAACCCGTAAAACATAACTAATCCTTACAAACCAAACTATAGAAAGTTGATCTGATGCTCGCTAGTGACTTGCTACAGGTTGGAGTTTCCTGAGTTCTAGTGAGAAGTCGTGACCAGTGAGGTCCAATTAGATGTCACGTGTGTGGATGGATGTCCCACCAACGACAATGGTTGGGGTCGCGCTAAATCACGAATTAGTAGAAGTTAGAATTCACGAGCCATTGAATCGGGTCCCAGTGGCTGAATGGTATACGAGCTTGCCTTGTAACCGGAAGGTCCCGGGTTCGAATCCCAGTGGGTGCGTACTGCCGATGATTCCCAAACTAGGATGAAACAGCAGCTGTCCAGTATTCCCTGGTTTTCAATGGTTCTCTAACTGATATCAATCCGTGATCAACCCGTTTCACATTATTATTATTTATTGTTTCCTTTGATTCCTAGAGGAACATAGGGATTCAGCTTCACGTGTCTCCATTGCGTTCGGTTCTCTGACAACGTTTTCACCACCTGGCTCCACTTCTGCCCACATGCTTTCATCTCCTTTTCGCATTGACAACCAACTCGCCGCTTCCCGTTCGGGTTCCACTCGAGGGCTTGTCTAGTGACGTCACTTGATGGTTTGTTTCCTCAGCGTATGGCCAATCCACCTCCATTCCTTCCTGCATACTTGTTTCACAATCGGTTCCTGATTGGTTTGCTCCCAGAGATCCCTGTTGCTGATCTTTTCTGGCCATCTGATCTTGATTTAGTATTGAGCAAAGACGGCTATTGATGAAGGTGTGTAGTTTGTCTGAGGTGCTCTTCATGACACGCTAAGTCTCTGATCCATAAAGTAATACTGACTTCACATTAGAGCTGAATATCCAGATCTTGTTCACATGCTGACTGCTTTTGACCTCCATACAAACTTGAGAGAAATGAAGGCTTATTTTGCTTTCCCGATCCTTACTTTGATATTCTCACCACTTCCGTCACCCTGTAGTTGAAACGACGCTTATCAGGCAGGTAAAGAAAGTTGCTTCTTTCAGGTCCTGTTATTTATTTATTTTTGATTACAGCTTGATTCCACACTGTATTTTTGGTGCAAGTATGGAATTTTCAGCATGGATATCGGTAGCCCAAATTTTGCAGGCCGACCATAGGTATCAGGTGTGCGTCAGCAGGGGATCGAACCTCGGACCATGTGCATGGTCGGCGAGAGTCCTAACCACTGTGCCACCGGCGCTGATTGTCGTCTATTGTTGTTGTTGCTGTTGGTGTCGGCGAGGAATCTTCATCACCTTTGTTTTCTCTATGTTCACCTGAAGGCTTATCTTTGATGCTTCTTCTGAGAGCTTGTTCCTTTTCACTTGTATATCTTCCAGTTTGTGGGAAATCAGGCAAATATCATCGGCCGTTTCCAGATCCTCCAAGTTTTTTGTATGGGTCCATTTCATGCCTGTCTTCTCGTTGCCCGCTGTCTGCCGCATTATCCAGTCTACCGCAATCTAGAGAATCATTGGAGATAGTATGTAGCCAGCTTGTCTTAATCCCGTCTTCACTTTGAAGGATTCCATGAGTTTCCCGTTGTGGATTACTTGGCATGCAGCCTTGTCGTACAACTATTCGATGAGATGTATATGTATTGTTGGTGGCAACCTTTTTGCATTGACATCCCATATATTTGATTAGACACTAGGGGTAGTTACTGATGTTGTTCATCTAGTCTGTCGTTTGGTGTGGTCTGTATTCTATTGGGCTTCCAGTCGATTGTCTTCAACCATCTGATAACAATAATCCAGAATGCAATATAAGGGCGAGTCGTCTGGCATGGTAGTTACATTGAAAACTTGACTTATAGTATAAGCCACCTGTTTTCCGAGTGCTTGCCTAGTAACCTAATGTTCCTCGTTACTGCCCCCTGTGGGGTTACGGGTGTATTTACTTATATTTTCGTGTAGATGAGAAACAAACCCACTCTGTTAAAAAATTCTGAATATTTCACATACGTATGGTTCTGTTAATAAGTAATGTAGGTAAAGCAAGTGAGACCGAATTCGCAGTATAAAATGACCTCGCTAGTTCTCATCATCTGCAGGTTACCCGTGATTACACTGATTATATTATTATTCCCTTGGGTTGTGGGTGGAACATGGAGCTTCAACAGCACATCTCCATTTCTTCATGTTCTATGGAGTCCTTTTTAACTGGCTTCACGATTGATCATAGACGACTCTCATCTCCGCTTTACACGATCTCTTCCATATTACCCTCGGACACACGCTTAACTCGTCCTTTTCCACTCGGCTTCCACTGTAGGACTTTGTGGATGGTGTCACTCAACGGTCGCCTCAGAGTATGTCTAATCCATTTCCATTCCCATCTACATATTTAACGGGCGATATGTCCATGATTAGTTCTCCACCAGAGTTTCGTGTTGCAAATGCTTTCTTGCTATCTGACAATAGTTGCAAAGGAATAAAAAAAAACATTTTCTTGTTCTGTCAGCTGAATGTTGGAGTGTTA